TATATATATATTAAATTTTAAACTAAATTATTTATTATAATTTTGGTTAATGGTTTACATTTTTTTTTTATCAATTTTTCTTTTAGTTGTACAATATAAAATTTAAATACTTAACTTTTAAATGTTATATTATTAAGTTGACTATAAAAAAATAATTATATCTCAATATTTATTCTAAAAATAATATAGAATTTTTTTATAGTTATTTTATTAGTAAATTTATTAATAAACTGTTAGTTATTATATTTAGTAGTGAAATTATTTTATTTATTTTTTTACACATGATACGGGTCGTTCCGATTGGGACCAGAAAAACCTCAATTTTAAGAATTCGGGTTGCCCGTTTATCCGACGAAGACACTATAATCCGTTGGGTAAAACTCAACCCGAACCCAAAGTAAACTAACCGAATAACTGGTCTAGTACTAATAGGGTAAATTATATGCGGTCAAGTTCGGGTTTGCCAAAACCCGCACCCCATTTACTCCCCTACCTAATCCTAAACCCTCTTCACAAACCACAGCCCTAAACACATACCATTAAAACATCTTACATTCAGATAAAAGAAACATTCACAGTGGAGCAGTAATGATTTTCGTTTTCTTTTTTCCTTTCCCAATCAAAACATTATTGCCCAGATTTCTCCACGTCTATAAAAGTGATGAAAAATGCTCAGTCTTCCTAAAATATGAGAGGAAACCTGAACAAAACTGAACCCAACCTTTTCTTCAACTTCCGCTAGAGTAGTGTTTTTTTTCTTTTTCTTCACCCGATGGCACTTTTCTTCAGAGCCCATCAAGTATCGCTGCTATTGATAGCAATCCTTGCCGTTTCTGGGTTTTTCGGGCCGAGGGTACAAGCCTTTAAAGCGCCCTTTCGGGCCGGAGACATCTTGCCCCTGCTCCCCAGGCAGGTTTCGTGGCCAATCTTGAACGCCCTGAACAACGCGGCGGATTTATTGCCGTCTTTTGTGGGGGCCGCCACCGCTACCAATGGTCCCACCACTTTGCACTGGAAAGGAGCTTGCTTCTACAATAACACCGCTTGGCTGGAGTTCCACAATAAATCTGGTAGTGAATTTGGGGGCGGTACTCTTCATATCAAGGTAAGAAATTTGATGTTTACCCGAATTGAGCTGTTCCGTGTATGCCTGGTGCTATTGTCTTATTAGATTCGATTGTTAAAGAGTTGGGGATTTCTTGCGCTTTTTCACTTATTACGTGACGTGTTGCTGTTTTTCCTTTAGGGTTGGTCATGTTTGATTATAAATCTGCTTAGTTCTCTTTGAGCAGTAAGTTAGAATATTGTTGGTTTTCTGGGTTGGGGAAAAGATGGTATGAAAAATTGAACCGTCGTCTTCGTTTTGTGCTGTGTTCTGTTTTTAGGATCTGGAGATGAGGGATGATGATGCTTGGCAAAGTTATATTAGTTTTGCTGTCAATTTATCACTGCAGCTATATTTGGGGCTTTTGGTTTCCTGTTTCATTTTCGATGCCCCTATGTATTCCATTGTAGTGGGTGAATAATCATGTATCCACAAAATTTGCACTATCAAATTATCTATGATAGACATTTTCGGTAGACGGATAACGTGTTTCATCTATATTTTGATGTTGGTATCTCAAGTCTAAAATGTATTTCGATATCCAGGTCAGTAACGCACATAGTTGGACATGTATGGACCTCTATGTATTTGCAACTCCATTTCGTGTGACATGGGACTATTACCTTCTGTCTCGCGAACACACCCTCGAATTTAAGGAGTGGGAGTCACAAGCTGAATTTGAATACGTGAGTTGAATTTTGTAATCAGATCCATACCCACGTAACAATTTTTTTATTTTTTTGTTCAGTTTTTCACAAAAGTGGAACTAAAAATTATCTGTCGATCAGGTAAAAAATCGGGGGGTTTCAATTTTTCTCATGCAAGCGGGAATGCTGGGAACCCTTCAGGCTCTGTGGGAAGTTTTCCCTCTATTCACGAACACCGTATGGGGTGAAAATTCGAATCTTGCGTTTCTCAAAAAGCACATGGGTGCTACTTTTGAAGAACGGCCCCAGCCTTGGGTCACTAATGTTACCGTTGAGGAAATCCACTCTGGCGATTTTCTTGCACTGTCGAAAATACGAGGTCGTTGGGGTGGTTTCGAGACATTAGAGAAGTGGGTTACCGGTTCTTATGCGGGCCACTCGGCTGTCTGCCTGAGGGACTCGGAGGGCAAGCTTTGGGTTGCCGAATCAGGACACGAGGATGAGAAGGTGACGGTTTAGATCTTATCTTTAAATTGGAATTTTGTTGCTTGTGCGTTTGAGTAATCTTGGTTTGTTGGGTTTGAACGTTTGAGTAATCTGAGTTGCACATTTTATTGTCGGTCCTTTTGTTGGGACATGGTTGTTTGTAAGGAGTTGACTCTTGGGAATTATTTCTGTATGCTTGTTAAAAAGAAATTCAATTTGAATTTGGATGTAGCCCTTCTTTATCTCTCTCCGCGTGTAATACTAACTATTTTCAAAAACTGCCACTCCATGTCCAGTGTAGCTGATTCAAAATTGGACGGTGGGACTGTGTTATTTGCAACATCAATTTGAGAGACAGATTATTTTCTGTTACGTTTGTATATTTATAAGTCATATTCTTCTAGCACACGACAGCCCTACACATAATTAGATCAGTGATTTGTTAATTGTTTTTTCTTGTTTGCCTTTTTTTCCAGGGAGAAGATGTTATTGCTATTTTACCATGGGAAGAGTGGTGGGAATTCGAGCTGACGAAAGACGACGCCAATCCACAAATTGCATTGCTTCCTTTGCATCCCGATCTCCGGGCCAAGTTCAACGAAACCGCCGCCTGGGAATATGCAACGAGCATGACCGGAAAACCTTACGGTTATCATAACTTGATATTTAGCTGGATAGACACAGTTAGTGATAACTATCCATCACCTCTCGATGCACACCTGGTACTGATTTTCCTTTTTTTTTTTTTTTTTTTTTGCACCTTTCTGTTCTGTTATTGTTCCACATACCAAATGGGAATTTGATTTTAATTAGGGGAGTTGGTGATCTCGTGGTATACGAATAATCGGTTCGATTTGCGGCACTAACATTTACATCCCATTATCCTCCCTTTCTTGAATCAAAAGGCAATAACTACCATAAGCTTCTCTATGACTGATTAGGCAGCTGGCATTTTGCAAAAGAAGTCTTCTGTGTTTGTTATTATTGCATACTCTCCGTATTATTATTATTCCTCAATTAGGATTACAAAAACTTATTAATTGGAACAGACCTTCTTGGATATTTACTACTCTATCTCTCTTCCCAATTTTCTAATATATTTGCCTCATTTAATTCCATTTTAATTTTGCTGCCCATTTTTCAGGTAGCATCTGTTATGACTGTTTGGACGCAGATGCAGCCGGCTTATGCTGGTAACATGTGGAATGAAGCACTGAACAAACGACTTGGAACTAAGGTTTTTCTATTGCCCTTCTCCGAATGTTGAATTTAACAGAAAAAAGCAAAAAATGGTAGATGCATACATGTTTAAGGATTTAAATCCACTCAGAATTACTGAAATTCTTCGTGAAAATATCAGTTGACTCACTGTTAACTGGGCATTTTTTTTTTTTTTGGTTAAACAATAATAATTCATTTGAAGGAAGTCTAAAATTAAAGATATTTCATGTAGACGGTGCATTAGTTATATTATAGCAAGGACCGCGCTAGAATTATATATATATATAATTTTACCCTTGCAGAACTTTACTCTTTCGGAAGTTCTTGTGGAAGTTGAGAAGCGTGGGTCGTCTTTTGGTGAATTGTTGGCTATTCCTGAACGAGACAATTGGGTATATGCTGATGGGAAATCAACATCGTGTGTCGCTTTTGTCTTTGAATTGTACAAGGAAGCTGGATTGTTTGGTGAGCTTGCAAACTCTATTCATGTCACAGAGTTCACGGTAAGCATGCTAATGTATTTATGCTTCTTGCAATTCAAAATTTATTTGTCTACTTTGGTTTTAGATGGACAATTCACCAGCTAACATGAAATTTATTAATATAAAGATGGATAAATTGCAACAAAATCCTTCGTATCTGAATAACTGGATATCAACAATTTCAGATAAAGGATGCTTACTCTCTCAAGTTGTTTGAAAACAACTCGAGCCGTTTGCCCACATGGTGCAATGATGCAGACACGGTAAAACTGCCATTCTGCCAAATTCGAGGCAAGTATAGGATGGAATTACCTGCATACAACACCATGGACCCTTATCCTCACATGAATGAGAAATGCCCTTCTCTACCGCCCAAATATTATAGAACACCCGGCTGCTGATACACCATAACTTTGACTTGTTTTCCAAGTTATTGTGCCGGATCTTCTATTGTACTATTGTTTCTGTGTTCAGGTTTGTAAAATCTTGTGTTATCTTGTATATATCAGTAGATCAACATGTAATGTAATACAAGCTATTAAAGCAAAATAATTAGGATACAAAATGGAAATCCCTGGGCAGATTTTGGGAGTTGGGTCCCATGGTTGAAGTGTTTTGCATTTGGAACTAGATTTTCTCATGGAATTCCGTAAGAGTTTGATGGCAGTCTACAAATATGTTGCAAGTTTTAATATACACTTCTCCAAAAATGTTAAGGAGGTTATGTAAAGTAGTAAAGTACTAGACTTGATGTAGAGCGTAGTACAATTGGGGAAGAAGAGATTCTCTCTCGAAGAACACACAAAATTTTTATTTAATCGTCAAAAACTGACCTTCTCATTATCCCAATAACATATAAATAGCAATGATAAAAATAAGACTCCTAAACTTGCCCCACAATTGCAAGTTAATTATTTTCCTACCCCAAAATACTACTTATTAAAGGACATAAAATAAAAGAGTACGAATAATTACGAGACAATAAAAAGCTGATTAAACCCGGAGTCGGTCATATTTATTCGAATACGCAATAGCGGTCTCGTCTTCATCATCCTCCCCCGGTTGAGCAGGATTCGGCCTCGAATCCGAACCGGTCTCGTCTTCGTCAGAGTTGTTGCCCGCAAATGGAACCAAGTGCTTGACGTTGAAAACGTCAGAAGTACGAACATGCGAAGGAAGTCGTAGACGATAAGCATTGGGATTAATCTTCTCAACTACCTCGACCGGGCCAATCTTCCGGGCTGACAGTTTATTATACTCGTGGGCCGGGAATCGATCCTTCGTCAAGACGGCCCAAACGTAATCACCAACCGAGAATTCCACATGGCGGCGCCGCACATCCGCCGTTCGTTTGTAAGCCGCGGTCGTGTCCTCAAGGCGGGCCCTGGTCGCTGCGTGGGTCGCCCTCAGATCGGCAAGGAGGTCCGCGGCCCGGCGATCGGTTGCAGCAGCAGACGGCAAGCTCAACAAGTCGGACGGCCTCGTGGGCGAACCGCATAGACAACCTCGAACGGAGACAGGCCCGTAGCCCGACTGATGGCCGAATTATGAGCAAACTCGGCTTGGCTCAACCGCTGGTCCCAACTCCGAACATTATCACCAACCAAACAACGAAGAAGGTTGCCCAATGATCGATTCACGACCTCCGTCTGGCCGTCTGTCTGCGGATGGTACGCACTGCTGAAATCCAAACGTGTGTTCGCCATGCGCCACAAACTGCGCCAGAAGTGGCTAAGGAATCGTGTGTCGCGATCTGAGACGATCGAGGATGGAAGACCATGGAGACGGTACACCTCGCGAAAGAACAACTGGGCCACATGAACCGCGTCAGTCGTGCGCTTGCAGGGGATAAAGTGCACCATCTTAGAAAAATGATCGACCACGACAAAGATAGAGTCGAAACCACGCTGAGTACGTGGTAAACCGAGCACGAAGTCCATGCTAATGGCACTCCAAGGCTGCGACGGAATGGGAAGAGGCCTATATAACCCCGCGTTGGACGATGTCCCTTTCGAGACATGGCAAACGCGGCACCGCTCGACGAACCTACCCACATCCCGCCGCAGGGTTGGCCAGAAATAAGAACGCCCGACCAAGTCGACCGAACGATCCCGCCCAACGTGTCCGGCCCCGTGCAGATCAGCAATAAGCTTGAGGCGAAGGCTGCAGTCCGGGATACAAAGCCGAACCCCTCGAAACAAGAAACCATCCGACAACGTGTAGTCGTCGACGGGGCCCACCGAAAGACGTCGCACAATCGGCCCAAAGAACTCGTCATCAGCATACATATCCCGTAACACATCAAAGCCCACAACAGAGACCCGCATATCAGTCAATAACAGAGCCCGGTGGCTCAAGGCATCCGCCACCCGGTTCGAAACACCCGAACGATGCTTAAGAACAAACGTGAACTGCTGAAGAAAAGCTGTCCATGACGCATGCCGAGCCGAAATATTATCCTGAGAGGTGGTTGTGCACGCCGGTGGGGCGCCCCACCGAAGCCGCGACCTCCCCGACCTCCGCGAAACCCTCCGCGCCCGGTCCGGTCGCCACCGTCGCGGTTCGCACGCACGTCTGCCATCAAGGTACGCATAGCCTGTTGCAACTCCTCCATCTCGGTTGAAAGATCCGTGAAACGATCATCCATCCCTTGAAAACGATCTTCCATTCTCTGGAATCGTTCTTCAACGATGTTGTCGTTATTCTTCTTTGGCGGCATCGAGGATCGCTGCTGGTCTCCTGATACCAACTGATGCAGACCCTAGTAAGATTTTGTCCGCTTTGGACTACTTCCGCCACCCGCACGACTTTGTTCTTGGCTGGGCTTCAATACACACCCACCAAAACGCGTCTTACTAGTGAAGGTATCCACATCCTCATAAGGCCTGCTTCGTTTCCTTTCAAACCCGATGTGGGATGCGCTGCATCATCCACCCCCCCTTGTGGGCCCAGCGGTCACCGCTGGCACATGGGCTGGCTCTGATACCAACTGATGTAGAGCGTAGTACAATTGGGGAAGAAGAAGAGATTCTCTCTCGAAGAACACACAGAATCTTTATTTAATCGTCAAAAACTGACCTTCTCATTTTTCCAATAACATATAAATAGCAATGATAAAAATAAGACTCCTAAACTTGCCCCACAATTGCAAGTTAATTATTTTCCTACCCCAAAATACTACTTATTAAAGGACATAAAATAAAAGAGTACGAATAATTACGAGACAATAAAAAGCTGATTAAACCCGGAGTCGGTCATATTTATTCAAATACGCAATAGCGGTCTCGTCTTCATCAAGACTTCATCAAGTTCATCAATTTTTAGCCAGCTGGTGAATTGTGGAATGAAATGTGACATGCAAGTAGACATTCTCGAATTTCAATCTCAAGACCTCATGATCATGCTCGGACAGGTGACGACTGTCGCCTTCGCCTTCAGGTTGAAGGCGTTCGCCTGAACGTGGCCGTTGGTGCCGGAGCCCAGATGGTCTCCAACCCTGTTCCGTTGTATATCGTTGGGGCTACAAATATCGATCAGATTTCAACGATTGGCAGATCACAAGTGAAAAAAAGAAGAGAAATGAGGGGGAGAGGATAATGGGTCGTTGATAGAGAGATGAGGTGAGATAACGAAAAAGAAGAGAGAGAGAGAGGGGGAGAGAGAGAGAAGAAGAAGAAGAAGAAGAGAGATATGGAGAAAGAGACGTGATTTGGAGAAGAGAAACTGATAAGTTTCCTTAAAAATATGTATTTAATGATTACATTGTTTTTTGGTATATCTACAAATAAAAACATGATTTCAGGTAGGATTGCTAATATTTATAATAGATGTTTAATTTGTAATAAAAACTGAAACCTATGGTGTAGGGAGTAATTTTCTCCTTTTCATATGTTGTATTTTAACAACAATAACAAAACCATTTTAACTGCAATGATTAGTCAAAACAAACAACTAAAGCTAAGGAGGATCAGTCGGAAGGAAGAGGGATTGACAGGCTTGAATAAATACATTGTGACTCTAATATTTAAAATTTTCCACATAACCTCGTGGAAGAACTATTAATAATGCCAACTTAATATTCTTTTATGAAACAAAAAAACTACTGTCTGAAACGGGCTTGCACTGTAATGGATGTCCTTTGAGTATTGTAGACATCGAAATCTTAATATTTTATTAGTTAATGTCTTTATTTATTTTTGGATATAAATCCATGATAAATAAGATATTTAATTAATAAAGTAATTGTATCTTGCCCACCAAGTCAAATCTTAAGATAAGGAAAGAGATTAATATCAAATCTTATGAGAAGGAAAGAGATTATGTCAAATCATGAGGACCAATCAAATTGAAGTCTTCTTCTCCAAGACTCTCTCTCCTACACCTATAAATAGGGCTATCCTCAATGACACAAATCACACCTCAAATACTTCAAACACCTCAAACACCTAAAAAAATATCAAAACACATCTCAAAGATTAAAGTCTCAAATTCAAAGTCTCTCAAGAACCCTCTTGAAGATTTGAAGAAGTTCTTGAAGAACTGCCTGAAGTCCATTCAATGAAGAAGAATGTCAAGAAGAAGAAAAAGAGGCGCGACTCTTCCCCAAGAAGTAAAGAAACGACTTCCACTCCTCTCAAGTCAATCCAAGAAAATCAACGACGTTCAAGCGACATTCAAGCCCCGTCATTGAGAAGTTCAACCAACATAGCGTTTGATTCGATAATAAGCTATCAAGCTCTCGAGTCAATGTTATTCAAGTCAAAGTCCCCCTTTCCAGAAGATCAATGAAACAAGTTCTCCAAGAAGTTATCTTTAATCAAATCAAGGCCTAACATTTAATACGGGAATAAGTCATTCGACCCCCAAATTAATGTTAGAGAAATTCAAGTCCAACCCGAAGGAGGTTCAATCGTCAAATCCATCTTTCAAGATCTCAAACCTAAATCCATGAAGAGAAGAATCATAGGAGATAAATAGAGATTGTACCCGCATATCGTTTGATCGAAATATAAATTAAGTTGTACAGAAAGTTTTATGTTTTCCATAAAATTTATTGTTACAAATTTGGCACGCCCGGTGGGACTTTCTCTACCTCTCATCTCTTCTCTTCAAATCAAGTTCGAAGATCTTTGAAGATGTATGAAGACCTCTTTGAAGAAAATGTACATGGGGGCAATGAAGAATGATGTCTTCACAAGCCATGAAGCATGGGGGCAATTCACATGAAGAGCTCCATCAAATATTCAAATGCTCCTTGATACGAGCCTAAACTATCTACATATTTAAATGCTCCTTGATATGAGTCTAAACTATCTACATATTCTAATGCTCCTTGATATGAGCCTAAACTATCTACATATTCCAATGCTCCTCGATATGAGCCTAAACTATCTACATATTC